CCCGCAAGTTGAAGGGGGGAAGCACCTTCAACTTGGAGAGAAAGTCATGATGCGCCAACCCAGTGAGGGGCTTGGTCAAGATATCAGCCAACTGATTGGTGCTGCTAACAAGGAATAAGGCAATGAGACCTTCTGATAATTTCCCCTAACGAAGTGACAATCAACCTCGATATGCTTTGTACGCTCGTGAAACACAGGATTACGAGCAATATGTAGAGATGATTGGTTGTCGTAGAATACAGAAACAGGAGTCACACCAACAACACCCAAATTTGCCAACAGGCGAGTGAGCCATGTTAATTCTGCAACTAGTTTATTCAACGCACAATATTCAGCTTCAACACTACTAAGAGAAACAACAGATTGTTTCTTAGACTTCCACGAGACAGGTCTCCCAACAAAGAACACAAAGAAACCGGTCACTGATTTGCGAGAATCTGGGCAAGCAGCCCAATCACTGTCACAATAGCCATGTAAAGCAAAGTCTGAAGAGTTATTAAAAAGAATACCATAATCAGATGTCCCTTTGAGATAGCGCATCAGATGTAAAGCATCAGAATAATGAGGAACTCGAGGAGATTGGAGAAATTGACTAAGATGCTGGACAACAAAGCTCAAGTCAGGCCTAGTATGAGTTAAGAAATTGAACTTGCCAATAAGGCTCCGATACAATTCTGGATTGGGGAGCAAGTCACCATCAACAGCTTGTAATTTCAAAGGTCAAGAGGAGAGACCACTGGAGATATTATCTCAGAACACTTATATTCAGCCAAAAGATCTAAAATAAACTTTCTTTAATTTAACAACAAACTAGCAGGAGTAGGAGATACCTCAATGCCCAAAAAATAGTGCAAGGTGCCCAAATCCTTTATCTTAAATTGTTCATCGAGATAGGACTTTAAAGCAGAAATTTCTGACACATCATTACCTGTTAGAATTATGTCATCTATATACACTGCCAAAATAACCATAGACTCCCCTGATCTCTTTGTGAATACACTGTAGTCATTAAGAGAATGAATAAACCCCTTTGCACACAATGCACTTGAAAGCTTAGCATACCATTGTCTCGAGGCCTGTTTGAGCCCATAAATGGACTTTTGAAGTTTGCAAACAAAAGGCTGCCTAGAACTAGAGGAGGATTCTACAGTGAACCCTTGAGGAAACTTCATATAAACTTCCTCATCCAAATCCCCATGGAGGAAGGCATTGTTGATATCTACCTGAAAAAGTGGCCATTGTTTCTTAACAACCAAGGCAATGAGACATTTAACAGTGGTCATTTTGACCACAAGGGAGAAAGTTTTATTGTAATCTACCCCAGCAGTCTGAGTATCACCTCTGACTACTAGTCTAGCCTTATATCTTTCTATAGAACCATCAGCTCTAAACTTATTCTTATATACCTACTTACTCCTAATGGCATTCTTGCCAACCGGGAGAGGAACTACAGACCATGTCTGATTGCCTTCAAGAGCCTCAAATTCTTTCCTTATTGCCTCTTGCCACTCAGGCACCAAAGCAGCCTGAGAATAGGTGTAAGGCTCAGAAAGTACTATTTGTGTCTTAGGCTGATTAGGGGAAGAACTGGACCCAGGGCCTTAGGAAAAAGATGCAGAGACAGAAGAACAAATATAATCATTGAGGTAAGAAGGAGCAACATGGGTTATGGTGGATTTTCTCAAACCCTCAGAAGGTGAAGCAGGAAAAATAGGAGTAAGAACATGATGTGAATTGACAGAAGAAACAGGGCCAGATGTCATGGAAGAAGGGAAAGGGGAACAAGTAACATTGGCAGATTCATTAGAAGGAGATGCAGATACTAGAGAAGAAGGTTCAAGAGGAACATGAATGGGGGAAGGCAATGGTGAAGTAGAAGGAGAAGGAGAAGGAGAAGGAGAAGGAGGAACAATAGAGTCATAAACAAAATTTGTAGGAGAAGAAGTGGAAGAAGAACCAACAAAAAAGTTGACAGCAAAAGGAAACACTGATTCATGAAATATAACATCCCTAGAAATGCAAAATGCTCCATTTTCAAAGTTAAGGAGTTTGTAGCCTTTCTTCCCAAAAGGGTACCCATGAAGACTGCAGGTATGCACCTGCTACTGAATTTATCCCTGTGTACAGGAGGTTTAGAGGCATAGCAAAGGCAACCAAGCACCCTTAAATGAGAATAAGTTGGGGTTTTACCAAAAAGCAACTCAAATGGGGATTTATTGTGAAGTAGTTTAGAAGAAAACCTATTAATCAAGTAGGTAGCATTTAGCACAGAATCCCCCAATACTTTGTAGGCACTTTAGAATGAAAAAGAAGTGCCCTTGAGGTCTCAAGCAGATACCTATGTTTCCTCTCTACTACCTCATTTTGTCGGGGAGTATATGGACAAGAAGTGTGATTAATAATGCCTTGCTTAGTAAAGAAAGAAGAGGTGGAAGGACTGGAACCTAATTCTAGAGCATTATCAGACCTAACAGTTAAAACTTTGGAATTAAACTATGTGTGTATCATGGCAATGAAAGCTCTTAGAATAGGAAAAATATTTGACTTAGTCTTTAATAAATGAGTCCAAGTTGTCCTAGTAAAATCATCCACAATTGTTAGGAAGTGCTTGCACCCATCATGTGTGGGAACATAATAGGGATCCCAAGTGTCAACATGTATCAATTGGAAATGAGTGTTTGTGTGAATTGTACTACCTGGGAAAGGAAGTCTGGTTTGCCTTGCCATTGGACAAATATTACAAACAAAGCCTTATTTACTAGAAAGCATAGAAGAAATAGAAGGAATAGACTTTAAATGAACAAAAGGTATATGTCCCAATCTACTATGCCAAAGAGTGTTCATTTTATTCATTTGAGGAATATTTACAAATGGAACAGAAGTGACTGAACACTCAACATTGTTCTTACCAAGATCAGGTAAAGTAGAACTATGAGAGCAAGTAAAGGCAGAAGGATAGCTAACAACAGTGGATGGACATGATGAATTGAAAGATGGCAGTTGCAAGATGTAAAGTCCATGCTGGAATTTACCAAACTCTAGAGGCCTCTTCATGGAAAGGCCCTGTATGAAACAGGCAAAAGAGCTAAAAATGAGCAGACACTTTAATTGTGATACCAACTTGTGCACATATATCAAGTTGTATTGAAAGCTAGGAACTAAAAGAACATGAGATAGAGTAGTATTATTTGACAAGGTTAAGTCTCCCACACAAGTTACTTTGACTTTATACCCATTAGGCATAGTTACTAAATAAGGAATAAGCAAAGACTTAATATTGTGAAGTAGACTACTGTGAGAGGTCATGTGGTCAGTGGCCCTAGAGTCCAATATCCAAGAGTTCTTATCAACCTTACACAACAAACAATTACTAACTGAACATTTAGGTCTATTACTAGAAAATAAACTGAGGATACCTGCAAAATTGGCAGAAGCAGTAAAGTGGGAAGTAGAGTTAGGATCAGACACATGATGTTGTTGAAGTAGTGTGAGGAGTTGGCTACACTGCACATTTGTCAACCCTGGGATAGTCGAAGTATCTGCAACATTGGCAGGTGGTGTCTCAGTGAATGGCTTAGGTTCAACATGAGCAAATTGTTTAGAAGGATCCAATTCAGTTTGAACATTAGCAGCAATCCTTCTATTATTCCTAGTGAACTGGAAATTCGGGGGAAAACCATGCTTCCTATAACATCTCTCCGCTGTATGATCAGGCTTATTGCAATAACTACAGACAACACTAGGCCTCCTTGAGTCAAAGCTGGTTTTAGGCTGGAAATTCTTCTGAAAAGGCTTTTGAAAAGATCTTTGAGACCCCGCTGAGAAGGAAGCAGATTCAGAGCTAAATTGAGAAGAATGAGGCTGAATTTCTCTTTGTCGTTCATCAGTCACCAGAAGAGAATAAGTTTTGTTGATCGTAGAGAAAGGACTCATCATAAGTAAATTTCTTATGGCATTAGCATAACCTTCGTTCAAGCCCATTAAAAATTGGTACACTTTCTGGTCCTCTTCACGTTTTTGAATGTCTAACTTACCACCCCCACAAGTGCAATGAGAATCAGAATAAACATTCAAGACACTGAGTTCATCCCAAATATACTTCATCCTTGCATAATATTCAGGAATGTTCATAGAACCCTGAGAAATAGAAGCAAGCTCTTTCTTAACTTGATAAACCCTAATTCCACTCGGTTGTCCATATCTATCTTCTAATTCCATCCACACATCCTTGGAAAGTTGACAATACAGAACACTTTTACGAATTACTGGAGTGAGAAGATTGTGAATCCATGAAATCACGATGTTATTACACCTATCCCATTGAAAAAAATTGGGGAATTTGGAGGAGGTCTCACACAATTGGGTTGAATGAAGTAAAATTTGTTCTTCACAGAGAGAGCAATAAGCATGCTCCTACGCCAATCGCTATACCCAGTCCCATCAAAACAGTACCTACCAGTGAAAGCCCCAAATTGTCCGATGGATGAATGTAAAGAGAAAGATTATGATCAATTGTATCATCCGATGAGTTATCAGAACCAGAACGACCAAGAGAACTCGAAACCGACTTATCAGAAACCAATGAACCCATGACTAAGAGTAAATTTAGGGTTTTCGTAATTCACCAATAATACAGCAGAAGTGAAGCAATTTTCAACAAAAAAATTGAAGCAAAATCAGAGTATTTACTAAAATTAGAAGGAATTGAAAAAGATTGTCAGAGAAATACCGAACTCCGGCGAAATTCCAACGAACACAACACGAACAAATTTTCTCCAAAAAAAAAAAAAAAAAAAAAGTGTCGACGAGATGCTCATACAGTGAAGGAGATTACCTCTCAGAATTACCCGGATACACCACTCTGATACTATGTTAAGATCATCGTGATCGATTAGTTGTTAGTGAGAAGAAGGAGAATCTGAGAGAAAGAGGAAAAGAAAATATCCCGTGCAATTGTGAAATTGAGCATCTGAAGCTTCTAGACCCGGAGCTCTTCTATTTATATAGAAGATTGTTGGTCCGGATCTTTACAATTGGGCCTTGGGCCAAAAACCAAAAGAACGGGTTATTGGGCTATCTATTAGTACAAAGGTTGGACTACACAAATATACAACCCAATAATAAAATAAATCTGACTATGTACAAAAGAAATATCTTTATTATCCAACAAAGTTCGAACGGTAAACTCGTCGGCGAACTCGAGCTCGACTGGAGTTGTGTGTTTTTGATTTTGTTTTGGACCGATTCTAACTGCATTTTTTGGGTGGAAACGGAAATGGGTTTCTATATTTTTTTTCCTTTTGCCTTTTTTTTTTTATCTCCCCTTAATTCCGAAATTTTTTCTCTTTAAAAATCTCCTCCCCCTCCTCATGTGTGTGTTTGTGTCTATATAATATAAAGAAGGGAGGAAAAACGCAGGGAATGAATGATGGGACAAGAGAATAGTGTAGGGACAAGAAAATAATATATTGAGTGGGTGATGGGACAAGAAAATAGTATAGGGAAGGTATGAAGTAATTTTATTAGATTTGACTCGTGCTTAAAATAAAGTTTTCGAATAAAAGTCCATTGCTACGATTAAACATAGAAATATATTAAAATACGAAAAAATGGTAAAAAAAAACTCGAGTGTGGTAAAGAATTAGGTGCTCACGAGCATTTAACGGCTAATTAGCCTATACTCTTTTAATTTGTTTTTATTTTCTCCTAATTTCCTTTATATTCCACCTTTCTTCCTAATTTATTTACCATTCTTCCTCATTTTTCATCTTTCTTCTTCATTTTTTTTACTTTTCTTCTTCATTTCTCCATTTGGTTCCTACTGAAATTCTCCCTATTTTGTTATTACTGAATCTATTTTTTATCTTTCTTGTTTTATTCTTCTTTCATTTATTACCCGAATTTTTTTGAAAGAAGAAACACCCATTCAACAACTCACAAAAAATATCTAAATTTTTAGTAAAATTTGAATTGAATCCTAGCAAATTTATACCATAATTTTGCAATAAAAGCTAGTCTTTAATGAAATAGAACGTGTTTATAGCTATCTTTTTCGAAACAATTCGATGTTTTTATCAATAATCTTCACTCAGCCAGAACCACAATGAACCCTAGATTTTTAATCAAGCCCTAGTTTTTAATCTTCAATCTCGAACAAAAACAAAATAAGATTGAGCAATCTAGGATTATTGGGAAAAAATCAAGGTTACAACGATGCTTATTGAAGCAAAACGCTAATGAGACGTATAATGTCCATCATTGGAAGAGAGAAGAGAAAAGGGGAAATGACAGAAATGATTTTACCCTAGCTCTATTTTTTTTTGTTTTTAACCGAGTGAATATTTACCCCTCTAATAATATTTGATTATTATATAAAATAATTAATTAAGTCGATTTTTAGATTAAGCTAATTAATTTAATAAGTGAATTGCCACACAGCAAATTGTTTTGATAATTTAGAGCATACACACTATCAGAAATATAACGAGGGTGTCTTAATATGTAATAGAATATAGTTTAGGGCAGTTTTGGGGACACCAGATAGTTTAAACAGGAAACTGACAAAAAATATTATAGTTTAGGGGTATTAACTCATTAGAAAAAAAAAAGGCTTGAATACCTAAACAATCTCCCCATTGTAGTCAAAGCTTTTCCAATTCTTGAAAATTATTATTAGTGTGAGGGACCTTTCCCCTTTGCTCGTTTTTCACACATTGTTCTGTTATGCTCTTCTTAAGGGTAATAATATAGTTGAAGGTGACTTCACTACTCGTCTAAGAATTGATCAGAGTTTCAGGTCAGTTCCAACCCCTAGAGACGGTCATCTTCCAACCCACAAACACCATATATGGACTCCTTTAGGTTGGAACTAGCTAGTTGAGCCTGGCCTAGTTGAAAAAGAAAAGTGCAAATAATCTTTTAATGAAGAAAAATTATGTTTACTTCAAGTATTGACCAATTTGTTTTCCCCTATATTTACCTCATAGTAATAGTTTTTCTTCTCATCTATAGAATTTCTCTCCCGTCGTCAAAATATCCCTTTCTGTATCCTGAGCAATTCTTTGTATTTGCAGGAACTTCTAAAAGGATAGATCAAGCAACATTAGTGCTTAATAGGGAAAGCGTGACCTTTTTTCCCTATTACCACTAAATACTAGTAATAGAAGACTTTGTTTCATCTTCTAACTTTACTTTCTTTCTAAAAGTATGTCAGATAACTACTTGGTACCTGGTGGTGAGAAATTAGAAGTGCCTTCTAAAATAATTGAAGTACATAAAAGTTAACGCATACACCACTTATAAAATATAAGTACTAATATAAGTAGATAGATATCTAACACCAAACTGATATAACCATCCCGGTATCACCAATGTTACCTATTATAATAGCATTTGTGTACGGTCGAAATCAAGTTCGCCTACGACATGACATATTAGAAACATGACAACCAAAGACTGAAGATCGACCCTGAGTCCCACCGAGCTAGAATCTGGGGTCATAACGCCTGCCTTCGAGAACATTGAGTCCGGAGTCGACCTTAGCCCTGATTGAGCTCGAAAAAATATTGTTAGCATAGCAAACAGAAGATCGAAATATCCGTGACCGGACGAATATTATGGCAAAAATCTCGACACGTATCAATAAGGAACTGCCAATCATCAAATCAAGAGATTTTTTTACCTTTTATAGAATTGTACTTAAAGTAGGACTCCTCTACTATATAAAGGGGAGTGTGACAATTTATTGGACACATTGTAACACGCATTCAAAAGCAATATCTCATTATTATTCTTAAACTCTTATTCTTCTGTATCCTGACACCGATCGAAGCGTACCTGGCTCGAGGGTGATTGTCTTTCCAAGGATAAGACTGTTCAATTCGTGTGGTTTGCATTTACTTTTTCATTATTTATTTCAATTGCAATCTGATTTATCATTTTTGTGTCAAGTTAATACACGTATCCTTAAAACAACTTACAAATTCAATTGTTATCCAATTTTGAGGGTAAATAGTTTGGCGTCCACCGTGGGACTAAGGATAATAGTGGTTATTTGATACAAATCTCCATAATACACACTACTTTATACTTGTTCTTTGAAGTGTCTTTGATCTCAGGTTAAAATTCAAAATGTCAAACTCTCAATCAGCACCCCTACATATTGACAACGAGTCCAGCCATCACGGTGAAAACAACAATATAACTCCCGGTGACGAGGTACCACCCATTGATCCCATCGAAATTCTGGCCGCGGGTCCGATTGACGCTAATTCACATGTGACTATCGACGCAAAATTGCCTACCGACCCCGAGAATAGCGTCCGTGATGGAGCTCGATCGGCAACTCAAAACACACAAAATATTGGAGGAGACGGAATCAGTTTACGGGTGATCTTCGAAATGTTGCAGGCTCAACAGGCGGCGATAACTCAGTTACGAAACCAAAGCTACACACCGAGCAGGGTTGAACCCGATCCACCCTAGAAAGTCATCCGCAGGGATGAACCGGTCGCAAAAAGGTCAAATGAACATGAATCGGGGGCTAACCCCGAGATCAAAAAGATGTTCGAAGAGTTGACAAAACGAATAGAATTAAGGGAGAAAAAAATCGAGGCTAGCGACAAAAAGGTAGAAACCTACAATTCCAGGGTAGACCAAATCCCCGGAGCACCGCCAATATTGAAAGGCCTAGATTTTAAGAAGTTCGTGCAAAAACCTTTTTCTCCGAGCACGACTCCGAAGCCGATCCCTAAGAAATTTCGCATGCCCGAGATTGTTAAGTATAATGGAACGACCAACCCAAATGAGCACGTAACCTCTTACACGTATGCCATCAAAGGGAAAGACTTAGAGGATGATAGGATTGAGTCTGTGCTGTTGAAGAAGTTTGGAGAGACCCTGTCAAAGAGGGCTATGATATGGTATCACGACTTACCTACTAATTCTATTGATTCATTTGCTATGCTTGCAAATTCTTTCGTGAAAGCACATGCCGGGGACATCAAGGTCGAGACCAGGAAATCAGACATTTTCAAAGTAAAATAGAAGGATAACGAGATGCTTAGAGAGTTCGAGTCCCAGTTTGGAATAAAACAGATGGACCTGCCACCTGTCGCTGACGATTGGGCCGTTCAGGCTTTCACTCAAGGGCTCAACGTTAGAAGCTCGGTGGCTTCATAGCAGTTGAAACAAAACCTGATAGAATATCCAGTCGTTACTTGGGCCGACGTACATAACCGGTATCAATCGATGATCATAGTGGAAGATGATCAACTCAGGGCCCTTTCAGGGTCTGTTTATCTCGTCAGAAACATCGATAGAGTGAAGAGAGACATCAATCGTGAACCTAGACCAAATAGGGATCGGTACCACTCGGAAGGAACTTTGTCTTTCAACGAAGAGGACGCGAAAGGGATCGTGCAGACCCACAATGATGCACTAGTAATATTTGTACTCGTAAATAAAATTCGAGTTAAACGTGTGTTAATTGATCTAGGTAGCTCGGCCAACATTATCCGATCGAGGGTCGTGGAGCAGCTCGGTCTACAAGATCAAATCATGCTTGTAGTCCGATTTCTAAACGGATTCAACATGGCATATGAGACCACTAAGGGTGAGATTACATTACTGGTGAACACCATCGGGATCATCCAGGAAGCTATGTTTTATGTAATCGAAGGAGACATGAAGTACAACGCTTTGCTCGGAAGGCTATGGATCCACAACATGAGGGCAGTACCCTCAACTCTGCACCAAGTGCTAAAATTCCCAACACCATGCGGAATTAAAATAATCTACGAAGAACAGCCAACCGTAAAGGAGATGCTTGCGGTCTAAGAGGCAATTCCGATATCCGCACTTGCAATGACAAAGGGACCGAGTTCGATCACAAAGCCAAAAACTAAATAGCAATTACCGACACCAGCTCCGACCCAACCGGAGAAACAGGGGACTGGTGAAGATGA